CATGAGGAAGAGTGAGCGTCGCATCAAGGAGCTCACCTACCAGGTGCAGGCATGGGGGCTGCTCTGGGGGGCAGGAAAGAATGGATGTGAAAGCGCTTCCCCTGCCTCACTTCCCAACCCACACGGGCCCTAGGCACAGCCGCTGTCCAGGTGGACTCAATCCCCTGGCACCTACTTCTTGAGACGCCGTCTTTAGATTAATTTTCTTGCACATTCCCTGGGGTCTGTTTGGCTTGAGTCCATGATTTTTTCTGGTGAGTGGAGAACCTACCTCTACTTCCTGAAATCTCTTTTAACCAGCATTTCCTTGGGTTTTCTTGTTTTGTTTTGTTTTAAGAAGCCAAAGTGCTACCATGAAGGCTTTTGCACCGTCCATGGAATCTTTCTGCCAGCCCGAGAGGGAAGGACATAGTATGGCACTTTCGGAATAAGAGACTCAGATATTCCATGGAACTTGTGGGACCTTAGATAAAGATGATCCCAAAATGTTCTAAGACCTGCACCTTTGTAACTCAGAGCTTTTGCCCTTGACCTGTTATTTTCCCAGTGCACCTGGGAAGAAAGGGCAGGGAAAGGAGGTGTTGGTCCGTTTGATGGCAGAATATGAGAGGCCTGAGAAAGAGATACAGCTGGAGAGAACAGCAGGTGAACTGTGTACATAAGTGGGAGTGGCACCCTAGCCCGTGTAATGATGAGGAGCTAGACATGGTCAGGTGACATTAGAGCCAGTGATCCTGGTGCCCAAATCTGCCCAGTACAGTATATATATGATAGGTGAGAATGGTCTGACTATGACAGTACCCACTTCATCCCGTGCTCCTCATTTGTCCTCTCGGCTCACTCTCAGACCACTGGCCGAGAGCATCTACAGGACTCCAGGCTGGGACTGGAGGAGCCCCGATGCCCCCATATTTTTGGATGAAGGAATTCCATTTGGTTAGGAGCCCCTTGCCCCACTTCCAGCTTTAGGGCCATAGCCCACTTTGCTTTCTAGATCCAGACTGAGCACCTTGCCTTGGCCCTTTGACCTACAAGTCAAGGCAGAGATGGAATCCCCCAGGCTCCCTCTTTGACCTGGCCCATCGGAGGGATGGAGGGACAGCTAAGGCCTGGGGAGAATAGTGACATATTGAGGGAGGGAACAATGATTGTCCTTGCTCCTCCCCCAAATTGGCTTCTCCCATCCATCCACCCCCAGACGGAGGAGGACAAGAAGAACCTGCTGCGGCTGCAGGACCTGGTGGACAAGCTGCAGCTGAAGGTCAAGGCCTACAAGCGCCAGGCCGAGGAGGCGGTGAGTTCATAGTTTTCTCCACTCTCCCTCCACACACCTCCCTGTGTGAGAATCGACGGGCCTCAGTCCCAGCATGGGGACTGGACATTTCACGCGTCCCGTGTGCTCAGAGCTGGAGCAGGCACTCTGAGCAAGCAAAGGCAATGCTTACAGCCTGCTTATAATCCATACTCCGGTAGACCTGACAGAAGACAGTATAGCTGCTAAGCAGGCCACGGGGCCACATGGTGCTGGAGGCTGGAAAGTGGCCGTGGAACTGGGCCCAGGAGAGGAGTTGGCCATAGGGCAGTGGGGAAGACTCTGGGTAGGCCGTAAAGTGTGAAAGTGAGGTGTTGATGAACACACATGTGCAGGAAACCCGGGAGCTGGGAGCAGCAGAGTCAGAGCTGGGCAGGTGCAAGTGAAGCTCGGTTCAGAATGGGACTGACCAGGCAGCATGTCATTCATCTCAGGCAGTGGGTGGCTATGCGGGATTCTGGGCAAGTTGAGGAAGGTGCCAGGCCAGGAACAGGAGACCTTTGGCAAGGCTGTTGCAGGGACATGGTTGAGGGGTGAGAGCGCTGGGCTCCTGGCTCAGGGACAGGAATCCCTCAGACTGGGAGGCTGGGGGTTTCCAGCTCCCCCAACCTACCCCGCTGCATCTCACCTCCTCCTCCCCATCCCCGGACCCCCTCAGGAGGAGCAGGCCAACACCAACCTGTCCAAGTTCCGCAAGGTGCAGCACGAGCTGGATGAGGCCGAGGAGCGGGCAGACATCGCGGAGTCCCAGGTCAACAAGCTGCGGGCCAAGAGCCGCGACATCGGCGCCAAGGTGGGTCCGTTGGCTGGGCCTCACTAGTTGCCATGTCAGCACACCTGCCACCATCAGTGCCCCTCAGGATGGGCACTCCTTAGACTATTTTATGGAGGACTTGGGGGGCGTCCCACAACATCCATACCTGAGAAACCCCTTCCTGGTCAAAGCAGCCCATATAGACTGAAACCTCAGAAGAAAGCTTGGCCCCCCCCCAACAAAGTACAAAGACCCCTAAGTGAGCCCCAAGGTCCCTGAGGCCAGAACGTCGCCCTCTCAAGGCAGCCCCCTGAGGCCCCAGAAAGCCCTAGAGATTCCTCCCCACACCCTCTTTCCCTCTTGCCAGCTGCCCCCTTACACCTTTTATTCCTTTCTCAGCAAAAACTGCTCGAAGAGGAGTGACACTGCATCAGGAACCTCCCTCTTGACAGCCTGGAATAAACATGAAAGCCAGACTCTGCCTGCGCCCCTTCCTTCCTGCCACCGCTACTGCCAAGAGCTCTTAGAGCTCCCAAGTGGAGGGAGGCCCTGCCCTTGTGTCAGAGCTGTGGGAGCCAAGGCTTTCCACATCTTTCCACATCTACAGAGGAGGCAGCCAAGGCCCAGAGAAGTGAGGTCAGAAGGAGAGAAAACAAAGGTACCGGCATGGTGAACCAATTCTGTGTGCAGAGAGATAGGAATTTTGTGTGGAAGCCAAAGATCCCCTCCACATACCCCAGCTGTGGGCTGCAGGGGTTAAAGTTGTCCTGGGACACCCGTTCCCTCCCAGATGAACTTCCCACTGATACCACGAGAGGCTCCAGGCTCCCTGGGGGTGGAGGTTCGTAAAGGGGTTGATACAGGTCCCATTCTGGCCGACCCACAGGGAGCCCCAGGCCCCTTCAGCTGAGGCCCATGTGTGAGCTCGGCCTCTGTGGTCATGCCTCACCTCGAGGGGAATCCTGGGACGCTGAGGCCAGCTGACACTGAGCCTGAGTCAACAGGCACTGTGGACCAGAGCCAAGCATTGCTTCATTTTGGCCCCTCACACAGGCACAGGTGGGCATGGGTGTATGAGCAGGTACACGCTGTAGATCACACCCCCGCTCTCCCTGAGCACCCACCAGGGACAGTCTCGTCCAGGTCATATTCCTGCCCAGGGGACAGGGCTTGTCCCGGCCCCATTCTGCTCCAGACAAATCCCTGCCCCCTGCTGGGCTTTACAGCCCAGTTCTAACCACTTTCTCATCCCTGCATCTGGCACCCCCGTCTCATAAAGGGTGCTAGGTAAGCCCCTGCTATGCCTCCCTGAAAGGCTTGGGGTGGCCAATCAGTGCCTAGAGCCCTGAGCATGTGAGCAGAAACCCAGAAAAACACAAAATCCCATTGGTTCTAACCCTGGGGAGGCTGCCTGTGCTGGTGAGGAGCCCCAGACACGAGGACAGGAAAGTTGGAGAAGTCAGACTGAGGCAGGCCCACAACTACCACCTAGGGAAGCAGAGCAGCTCTACTGAAGCTCCAGGGTTCAGGCAGGTCTTGGGGGCTGGGGCCTGCCTCTGGAAGGAGCACCCCAGAAAAAAGGAAGATATTTCAGAGCACGAGCAAACCAGCATTAGAGGGGTAGCAAGCCAGCTTGTATGAGCTGCTGAGTTAGGCCATGTGGTTGAGCAGGGACATCCCTAGTACCCTGGCTGTCATGGGCCAGGCAGGGCTGATTCCTGGACTATAGCAGTGTCTGTTCTCCAAAAAGCCCCCAGCCCAACCCAACCCTCCCCTAGCATTTGCTGTGGGCAGTCAGGACCATCCTTCACTAGCCTGTCACCTTCCCTGGCTGTGAATGCCCAAGGACAGGCCCTCCTGTCACCTGTGAATCCCCCAGGGCCCAGCACAGGGTCTATAGGCAGGAGATGCTCAGGAAATGTTTGCTTGCTGGCAAGCTGGGAGAGCGGACCCGCTGGTGGAGGGAGCTGGAGATGAGGCTGGGCCATTTATTTTCTGAGCTACCGGGAGTTCTGTACCATATCCTGATCACCTGTATAGGTGTTAGGCAAGCTAGGTTCTTGTCCCAGCTCTGTCACAAGTGAAAAAGTCATTTCCTGTAACTGGGCTTGTTTCCTCTTATGTGAAATGAGGGCATTGGACCTGCTGATATCTAAGAGCTCTTCCAGAGCCAGCATCTGGAGGGGTTTTGCCCTCATCTGGTGCCACAGGCTGCCCTCTTTCCTGTGGCCTGCGGGCCAAGTCCTCCCCACACCACAAGGGGGAGCTCTAAACACGCCCCAGGCAAGCACCTGGTTCCAAACCCCTAAGAAACCTGTGTGCACAGGTGCTGCTGGTGGGCACTCACGCGGAGAAGGCTTGAGCCTTCTCAGACACAGGACTCTGGGAGCCCAGCCAGCAGGCCCACCACAAAGCAGCCTGGCACACAGAGATCGTGGAGAGGAAGTGTGGTGTGGAAGGAAGTCTTCAGCACCTTCAGTCCAGTCCCACTTCCTCATGGCTCAGACCTGGTTGCAGAGAAGGGACCATGACCTGCTCCAGGCAGCTTTTTTGTGACTACTCCCTGGTTTTCCTGATCTGCCTAATTCCTGGGGAAGAAAAAGACACCAGTAGGATTCGAATCTTTTAATTTGGGAATGATCAGCTTCTTCCTGCTCTCCCTCCCCAAAACACCCCCTTCCCAGTAGAGCTTCATCGGGAGTCAGATCTCGGAGCACTGAGCCCCACAGACAAGTCCCTGGTGACTTCTCAGGCCAGACTCCATCCCTGAAGGCCTGGCTGGGGGACATTAGGCTGCAGGCTAGGGAATCCAAAGGATCCAAAGGGCTGCTCTGTTCCTTTTGTCTGGCTGGGCCCAGGAGCCAGTTAGCTCAGGGTCACTGCTGGTCCTCTGTGAATATGGAGCCAGGAAGGGAAGGCATGTCAGGATTGGGCACCTGGGGCACAGGGTGGGAGGGGGCACGTCCTTTCCCCATGGCACAGACACTCACCCTGGGTGGTCCTGGGAGCCATCTCGGTCCGGTAGATCTTGAAAGCATCGTAGGCAAAGACGGAAACCAGGATGATGCCAAACACCTGTGGGAGTAGGTGTGTAGGAGCTGGGATGACACAGAGAATGCCGCTGGCCATCACATACAAGGGAGAGGGAGGTGGGCGGGATGGGGCACTGTGTGAACCAGAGCCCAGGGCCCCAGCTTGGGCTTGTGGGGAGGCACCAACAGTGTGTAAACACCAGCCAGGGGTCCCAAGGGCCTGGGGAGCTCTGTAGGGCTGGACTCACAAAAGCAGCAATGGCAGCTCCATCCCGGGAGGTCACAGCTGCAAAGGAGACCACCAGGAAGATGATGATGGCACTGACACAGCGGAGGAAGTCCTGGGGGATGGGGGGGCAGGGTCAAAGGGAAGTCGGAGGGCAAGAGAACATCATCCTGAGGTTTTCCAGGCCAGTCAGTGACTTCACCCTCAGGCCCTGTGAATTCCTACATGGAGAGACCCCTGGGCACGATATGAAGCACTTGCAAGAGATACAGAGAGCGCGAGTGAGCCAGGGAAGGGATGCAGGTGAATGCAGAGCGGCCAGGACTAGGAGCCAGGACCCTGGGCCAGGGGGAGGTGGGCAGGCCTGGGGCAGGCCGACCAGGGGCCCAGGGCAGGGCCGGGGCTGGGGTGGGAGCTTCAATGAGTGGGAGAGCAGCTCTAAGTGATTGTGTAGGAGCTGGGCCCCGTACTGACCCAGGGAAAGGAGAGAGGCTGGGAGGGAAAAGGGAAATTTCACCTTCAAGAAGTAAGGGACCAGAATGTGGTGGGGCAGAGTCCCTCACCAGACAGGGCCAGTTCAGCCGATCGAAGCGCAGGTAGTACTGGGTGGCGTAGAGGAAGAGGAAGGCGAGCGTGATGAAGAACTCCAGCAGTGCTGCGGCCATGTAGGCGGAGATGGAGGCCGTGAAGCAGATGAAGATGACGAAGGTCAGGGCCTGTAGGACCCGGGGTGTGAAGCTTGCCAGGAAGGGGACACAGGCCTAGCCAGATTTTTTTGCCTTCCCTCCTCGGAAACTCCCTCAGGCTGCCCCCAACACCCATTCTTGCCGGTCTACCCACCCCTGGTAGCGGGAGCCACACTCCAGGGCACTGGCCCCTCGAGGGCAGTCTCCAAGCTTCCCAACTCCCCCTGTCCAGGACCCCAGCAGTTTGACCAAGCTGCACCCCTCCAGGGGGCACCATTCTATGGAACCCACAGAAGAGGTGTCCTTCTGAAAGCCCAGGGTACAGGGTGCACACCAGCCTGTCCGGTTCCACACCAAGAGACAAGATTTAGAAGACAGTAGTTCCACAGTGGACTCTAAGGGTCCCTTCAGCTCTGGCGATGTCGCTGACACATACACACGGACTTAGGATGACACTCAGGTCTTGCTAAGTGACAGGGGAAGATCCTGCCCCGAGAACAGGTGTTCATGGGGAGCAGACGCAGATAAAGTCTTGTTCTAACTTCAGCTCTTTCTGCAGCCGCTGAAGCTGCTGTAAGGGCCTTCAGAGGGAGAAGCAGCCAGAGGGCGGGTGGAGGAGGAGGGCAGGGTAGCTGGGACAGGAGCGGTGTCCAGAGAGCCCCGGAAAGGAGACCACCCAAGGGCTGAGACCAGTGAGGGCACTGAGCAGGGAGAGGGGGGAGTGAGATCATACTGGGAGAGGTGGAGGCGCCAGGTCGGGGAGGTGGCTGTTACCAGCTCGGTTTCCAGCAGGATGCCTTTGAGGGAGGAGAGGAAAGTCTTGTCCACAGCGAAGCCCTGGAGCCCCGCAGCTGCCCCCTCCGCAGGGAGCCCATCCCGGCGATCCCGAGCACTGAGCATCTCCGTGGGGCCCACCAGGCACAGCCCCCACTGCCACCGGCCTGAGAAGGGAACTGGGAAAACAGAAACCTGGAGAGATGGGGAAGCAAACAGAAGCAGGGAGGCACTTGGAGAAACCTGCAAGAGAAGCGGGGAGGTCGGCCGAGGGGCCGCCAAGGAGCCTCGCCCAGCCAGACGGGCCTTCTCCCAGCTGCCCAGAGTGCCCCTGCTGGTGCCTGCACCGCCTCCACCCCACCCCGGGAAGCACATGGGGAGGGCAGGGGAGGGGCGGGGAGGAGTGGTCAGCCCTCTGGTTGCTAGAGCCCAACCCAGCCTAGAGAAGGAGAGCAGGGAGGAGGGGGGGAAAGGAGGAGGTCCACACAGAAACTGGGAGGAGCTGGGAGGTAAGCTGAGAATCTGAGCTAGACCAGGAGCCCCCCAAGGACCCAAGCCTGAAGAAGTTTACATCCCCCTCCCCTAATTCCCCTCTTTCTGGCTGTCCTTTTCCCCTTTTCCTTTTAGGGAGGGTGGGAGCTGGAGCCCGGCCCAGGCAGCACCCCCCTGGCCCAGGCTGTAGCAGCCAAGAGTGAGGACAAAGGCAGATTGTTGGGGGGACAAGGTGGCGCTGTGTGCCTGCTGTAGTGCCTCAATGGGCCTCTGTCTCTCCAGCATGCCAGGAGGGCAGTCTGACCCCCACCCCAGTGCTCAGGGGTAGGCCAGGGAGCCAGAGAAGGGGAGGGACGGGAGGCCACAGTGGAAACTCTGGAAGGCAGAAGGACAGGGTAGTAGGTAAGATCTGACCATGGGGAAGAGAAGGGGCCAGGCTGGGGAGCCTGGTGTTCAGGCACCGGGGACGCCAAGATAAATTAGACCATTTTGAATACAGATTATTTATTTGGGTAAGTCTCTCCATGCTCAATAACAGCCTCTTCCTCAGAGCCTAGTAACTGCACCAAGGTATGTGCAAAGTAGATGTCACTGAGTGACGGACGGGTGGATGGATGGACGGACAGATGGACAGACGGACGAACACATGAAATGATGGGCTCTCCATTGGCAAAGGGGAAAGGAGCAAGAAAGTGCTTGTGCCGTGCCAGGGCAGCTGGGGATGGGAGAAAAGGAAGAGACGGGTGGTCTCTGGAGTCTTAAAGACTTTTCCCAAGAGGAAATGCCAGGAGGTCCTCTTCCCATGGCCGTAAGCTTCTCTGCTGCTTCGCCCCGCCTTTCCCATCCACTCTAAAAAGTGAAACGTGCAGTTCCCCCGAAAGTTCCCGATCCTGTCCCACAGTCTTGCTGCTCCAAGTAGTTCTTTGGAGGGGCTGAGCACTCAGGCATCCTGGCTCGCCATGGCGGGTGGTCCGACCGGGAACCGGGCACAGGCAGCATGACTAGGCCATCACTCGCGGCCGCACACACACACAAGCCAAGGAGACCTGATAGAGCCGCTGCTCCAGGCAGTAGCCATCCTGGGCGCCTTGCTCGCCGGGACATGGCCTCCGGTAGAAGACGGTCTGGTTGTGGTAGAGCAACTCCGAGTTGCCCAGGGGGTCCATGTGGGAGCCCGTCTGGAGGCTGACGCAGTGTGGACACAGGCAGCGGGCGTGGTACAGGTCCTGGGGGAGCCGGTTCAAGTCCCGGTCCAACCTGTGGAGGAGGCACTGGTCAGACTCTGGAGGGAGGCTGGCGGGGCAGGCAGGCAGGGGATGGGGCCGGGGAGGGGCTGGGGTGGGACCCCCCGACTCAGGTTTTACCCTCCCCCCCACTCAGCTCTTGTACCCACTTGCTGAGTGACTTTCAACAAGTCACCCCCTCCTCTCTGGGATTTATTTTCCCCCACCGGTAGAGAGGGGCAGGGAAGGAGGGGTGGTTTTCTGGTCCCGGAGCCATGTGGAGGCCCCCCAGACAAGCTCTGCTTCCATCTCATGTACATCCGGCATGAGGTTACTTTTTGTAATTATTACTACATTTTTAGGACTTTTAAAAATTATTATTATAAAGTAAAAACCGCTCTTATATCCAAGTATGAAACACTGTAAAGTGAAGACAGTTAGTCTCCCTACCAGTCCCTCTCCCCAGAGGGAGCCGCTGTCGACCAGTGCCTGCATATCCTTCCAGACACTTTCCTGCATCTACTATAAGCACATGTAAGTATGCATGGTAAGATTTATTTATTTATTCTGAAAGGGTTTTGTGGCCAAAACAAGACTCGAAATGTAGACGCTCCAAAGGTCTGGACCTCCCAAAGGCTAGCAGGAAACAGCCTCTGGGTTGCAAGACCGTTCTCCATGCAGACAAGCCCTCACGAGCTGGGGCTCGGCTAGAGCCGCCTTTCCCAGGGTGGGTTCCCTAATAAGTACTCTACAAGAAAAGGGGCCTGGGGCCAAATGAGTTTGGGAAATGCTGAATTTACAGTTTCTCTTCTGCGGACTTCTTGCAACTTTGAACATGCTGAGCACATTATGAATCTCTGAGGTATGAGGGCTGCATCAGGTGTCCCACACTTAACTGTCATCACTTTTTTCTGAGGAGCAGCCTGTGGGACGAGTATGGCAAAGAATAGTTTGCGGGAAGATCAGCCAAGTAGTCATCAGGGGCTCATGGCCTCCAAATGAGGGGTCTGGACCCCAGCCAGGTCAGCCCTCTGGCACCCAGCCTCCCCAGAGGGGCTCCCTGCCTCGTTGGATTTAGCCTGGGACCCAGCCAGACTTCTGAGACCACCTCAAAGCATGATGACCTGGAGTCTCTACCAGGGATCTGGTCTCACCCAAAGCTGACCTTCTCCCTACCCACCGAAATTGTCCACCATCCCCAAAGCCAAGGACGAGCCAGAATTAGACTTACGAAGAATGCGAACAAAGGCACCCCAAGAAGACACAAGACAAGGATCCCTAAGGCCCTAATTTTTAATATTTTGAGTCATTGTCCCAATTTCACTGCTTCCTAATACATGTTACATCATGGCACCAAGAGAGAATTTTAGGATTTGTGTGGCACACTGAATGGAAGAGTAAGACTGCCCATAACCAAAGAAAACCATCCCAGTGTTCTGGCTACCCTCAGAGCAGAAGGTTTCACTAACTTGGTACACTTACAGCCCCTCTAGTGACTGGGTCACTTGTAGTGGGTATTGGGGTGCCCCATGCCTTTTTCATACCCTCATTTCCTGATATTTCAGTTAGAAAAACATGTTCCATTGTAGGGACAGAAGAGGAAGGAGGAGGAAATGGGGGAGGAGGAGGGGTAGAAGAAGAGAGGAAAAGGAGAGAACCAACCTTTCCTGTACTAAGTAGAGATTTTACACACATTATTTCATCAGATCTGCACGTTGGCCTGGGGGGGTCTTACGTCATTTTACAGACATTGGCCTGGGGTGGGGGATGGTGTCTTACATCATTTTACAGATGAAAAAAAAAACAGCTTTGAAACCTTGAGGAAGTAGCTCAAAGTCACCCACTAAGAGTGGGAGCTAGCACCCAGACTAGGCCTTGCCTGAAGCCTCTACCTTTATGGCCTCTCTGAGATAAAAGGGGGTGTGGGCCAGCTGGACTTGGATGGAACCCCTCCCCCAAGTCCCTCCCATACACCCTGATGGCCCACGTGCTGGCATTTGCAAGGAGGCAGCAGACTCACTCATATCTCCAGGGAGAGATAGACCTGCTGTTGAGGGGTCCATCTTCACTGGCCCTGCAGGATTCTGGGTGGTGGGTGAGGCCCGTGGCCTCTCGGGGGAACTTGAGCACAGTGTTCCCCATCAGCCACTCGTGAGCGGGGTCCTGCCTTTTGCCGGGGCAGCAGCTGGGCCAGTGGGCACAGTCCTTCCGGATGCGAAAATTGAGGCTGTGGGTTCCCATGGCCATGACCAAGAACACGATCACCTACAGGAAAAGGCCAGTGAGATAACTGCTCTCAAACAATCGGGGTGCTCCCTCCCCAGCTGTTCTCTAAGAGCTCCACCTGGCCCCCAGCCCCAGCCCCAGCCCCAGCCCTGGAGCCTGGAGCCTGGCCTCTCTCCACCCTCAGCACCTGTGCGGCCCCTTCACACTCACCTGGTTCATGTCTGATGCTGCTCGCCCAGCCACAGTGCCGCACTGGCTGACAGATGGGGCCTTGTGGAAGCAGGCTGACTGGAGCGGCTGTGGCGTCCTGGTTTTATTTTCAGCAAACCTGTTTTGTTTATTCAAATTTATTTCCATGACCTTTTGGAGGGAGTGACCTGACATTAAAAAACAAAACAAAACCAAAAAAAAAAAAAAAAAAAAAACCCTGAAAGTGTTTCCAAAAGCTGCTCAAATGTTATATTCATGGAAGTTGTAATTCACATCACACCTTGGGAGCCTATTGGGAAAAATCTGTTCTTTGCACCTTTCTGGGTGTGGGGTCAAAGTAATAGTACTCTGCCATTCTGGGCACTGGAGAACTGGTGTTATGGGAATTCCCCTGGTTGGCTTGGTACCCCAAATTAGGGAACATCATCTGGTCTGTCTTCAAGAGGCCTCATTCCCATGCCCTCATCCAGGGCCTTGTCTCTGCCATTCCCTTTCTTCTCAGACAGCCATCTGGTCACCGACCTTAATGAACATTTCCCTCTATCTCCTTTGACCCTCAACCCTTCTGTTCTCTGACCTCTTTCTCGCTTTCGATGACCCCAACATCTAGGACCCCCATCACCTAAGGCATCTTTCTCATTGTCCGTTACCCACTTCCCCTCACCCACTCCAGTGGCTGCTCCATGCCCCATCCCACCCTGTCCTGATCTCCTCCGGGTCAGGGATGCAGGCCTAACCCCACAGGACTGCCTGGAATGCCTTGACCCCATCAGTTTGTCAGCTGGACGTGTAGGGTCTGATGGAAGAAGATGTGGGTGGTTGCTTCCATTGCATAAATGATGTGAAGCCAGGAAGGGGAAGGGCTTGGTTGTTAACAGCCTCACCTATGGCCCAGCAGGAGATCCCAGTTCCAGAACGGACCTGCCCCTGGAGCCTGGCCTCCTCTGGAACTGATCCCAGTTCCAGAACTCCCAAGGCACTGGGGACAAGGGCCGGCCTTAGCAGGTAGCTGCCCGTCTAGGGTCATGGGGCAAGTCCACCCAAGCTCAGCCCCGCCCCCAGCTCCATGGGCCACTGTCGGCCAGGAGGGGGCATACA